GCCGCGACGGGGGGACGGGTAGGGCGTGCAATATTAATCCATTTAACAAACTCATTATCGATGAGATATACCGAGCGTTTACCGTGCGCGGCGGCGGCGCGAATGCGCTCCACCTATCCCGGGGGAACCCCGGCTATATTAGCGGCTTGGCACCCCTGCGGCTTGATTTACGGGCGCGCGCTAACGAGCCTCGGCCTTCGCATCAGCCACGAAGAGGAGGTGATTCGGAACGGTGCAGCAGCACTCGGCCGCTACGGTTACGACGCAACGCGGGGGTCATGGGCGTCGCTAAAAATTTATCCATCCGGGATAGCGAGGAAAGGGAAATCGAGGAAGATCTCGGTGGCCGATCGACGGTGGCCCAACCCCGCGCGAGGTGCAACTAAATAAAGGACTGCTATTTCGGGGGACAAAATTTCATTTTCGTCCAACGATATAATATTATACGTTTCTCCGACTATGAAATTTCTATATTATTAAACTGTTTCGTCTATATATATTTACCATCAATCACTTAACCGTTAAACGATAATAAGATGTATTTAAGATTGCTAGGTAATTAATTCGTTTGGCATATCAATTATCCGCTTAGCGGAAAATTTATAAAGACACAATGATTTCCGTTATTAGCGCTTGATATTAAATGCATTTCGCAGAACCAAATTACATTCGCCTCATCGGAGTCTTATGAGTTCTACACACGTTTAAACATTCTTTCATTATCCTGTATCATTCGGTCGTAACCACCGCCGGACACACCCACAAGGTATTAACCGTTTCTTGCTCGGCCCAATTAACTGGGATCGATAAGTTTGGCAGAAGATCTCTTCCCCCCCCCCCTCTCTTTCGATTGTCTCTTTCACGGACCGTAAAAAAGTGAAAAAAAGAAGCGGATCTCTTCCCGTTACAACCGCCTTGTAATGAGGAATTCGTTGGGGATCCCCGAATGGTCGAATTTTGTGCTCGAAAATCGAAATTCTTTTTCGATCTGTCGACTGGTCCAGGAGCCACCTCCATGGCGACGCCCATGACACCAATATACGACACAACGGATGCATCGGTTGTGTTGAAAGAAAGGCAAGCGAGGGGCGCGTCGTTGTGTTTCTCTCCGACAATATGCCGACCGGCTGGAAATTTCAAAACGATCCAACATCGGCGGCTCCCGACGGGCTGATTGGACCGTATTTGGTTGTAATTAAGGCACCGGCGGCGGCCATTAGCGAACCGCGAAAATGAACAACATTGTTCTCCGTGTATCGCGTGTAAATCAGATCGCGCGAGCGTATCCTCTTCTCTTTCAGAAGCATCGTAGTTGATGCCTTCTTAGTGTCGTGTCAAAGAAAAACATAATGTCTCGTAAAGGCATTGAAAAGGAACATTATTTCTTTTACATTTTAACTTTCCAAGTTTTACTTCTTCTGTAACATAAACGCTGCAAGTGTGAATTAGCCAAAAAATCTTTTATATTACCATTTTCTTTATATAAGTCGTTATGATTTTTTAGTTTATGATAAATGCATTAATTTAGTTTACTTTAAATTTCTGGATTGCAATATATTTCCAGCATATTAAAATAAATGAAAACAATGATTCGTATTCATCTAATTGATATAAATAAGAAGTAAGATATCGCTTTTATTCCACTTTTTTTTAATATCTGATTATTCATATGTGTACATTCACCCTCGTGTGGAATCAACCAGGTACGAATAGCTGGCAACAATTTATTACGCGAGGTCATCGGAATGGTGTTACGCGAACCTCTTCTGCCACATCGAGAGACGAATATGGCAACAATACCTCTCGACTCGCATAATTGGCGCTATGGGCGCCCAATAGGGCCACCTCGCGATGGTGCCAGGAGGGCCGTCGGCGCAGGATGAAGAGATTTACAATGTTCTCGGTCGTAAAATAATCAATAAAATCTGCGCAATGTAAAGAAACGGACGTGCGGCAATGATTTAGTATGCGGAGCGCTGGACCCTGTCGTTCCTTCCCCTCTCCTTTTCAGGGTGGTTTCGTCCGTCCTTAAGGTTCGATTGCCTATGCGAAGGGCAGATTAGGCGTCCCGAAAAAAAAGTTGAACCAAACTTTGAGATCAGATGTAACATTTTGTGATAATTACATTAACAATATAATTGTTTAATATTTTGTCAGCAATCAAGCGGTATTGAAGAACATTTGAACAATACGAAATAATTGATTTTTAATCTCGAAACATTATAAAATAATAATATTTATATTAAATAAAAAATTAACAAATTGATATATAGAATTTATACAATCATATAAATACTGTTACAAAATTACTAATATTTGAAGTTACAAAACTTTTTTAATTAAAATAATAATTAAGTTACAACTTTTACAATTAATATTAAAATTTCGCTATAGTTGAACTTTCAAACTTAATTATTTTCATGGATAATGAAACTTATGTTTTAAAATATTTTATATGATTATAATAATTTTTCTTAAATTAATGTTGAATTATATAACATTCAAAATAAAACTACTTTTTTTAATTATGACAAACTATACTTTTATTGCTATTCAAAGAATAGCTGCTAGAGTTTAGTTCTTAAAGATGTATGATCGATTGCATTTGCTCAAAAAGGAAATATACACATAGGCCACATGTCCTCGGAATGAAAACCAATTAGAAAGGGACTAAGCAGAAGCTGATGGTCGTTTTGAAAAAGCGCGTCGCCTCGTAATCATGCGCTAATTCATCAACGTGGCTCATTTGCGAGCGTAAAGTTACCTAAATGATCACCACACAGGTAATAGGCGTGGCCCTGGCTATTTTGAGCAGTGCGTATCTTAGTTTTACGGGGCGTTAAAGGCACCGTGACTAATGATGGAGCCAACTAACAAGTTTTCACAGGTAAAACAAAGACATTCGACAAATTTTAATCATCGCCCATCTATTGTATCGTTCTACGAAAAGTGCTGTTAGTGGCTTTTATCAATGGAATTTACTTATCACGTATAGTTACATATTTCTTGTTTAAAAATAGTTTCTTTCAATATAATGAGAACTATACTATACATGTATAAATACACATGTGTGTGTGTATATATATATACATATATACACATATGACGAATGTTAGATTCATCTCAGTTCTTAATGGTTTTTATTTTAATTACTTTGTTAATTTAAATTAAAAATTAAAATAATAAATAATTAATACATAATTAACTTTTAATTTCAGTTGTGTTTATACCATCTTTAATATTATTATTACTTTCTTAATCTGTTTAATTTTTAATTTTCCACTTAAGTACGTAATACTATCTAATTGCGATCGTTTTCATTGAAGTCTTAGAAGATTTGTTCTGTAGTGTCTACTATCATTAATAGATCCTCTGCATCTAAATTTTACTATAACATTTTGACTTATTTGATTGTCAATTAATCTTCTGATTAATGGATTCTGAATGTGAGTAGTACCTTAAATTTTTTGTAGGAAGTACAGCACGATTCGCCCCGGGGTTTTGCGGCGGGAGCTAAGAATGGTGACGAATTTACGAGCTCCTTACGAGCAAAGGCCTGCCTTCTTCGTGAGCATGTAGCGGGCAATAAAATACAAGGCCAGAGGATATTCGAAACAATCGGACCGAGAGAGGGCAGGATCTATATTTACTCGAGAAGATCTGGATTAAATTTAGGATTGATTTACGAGTAATCGCGCACCGACAATCCCTGTTTTCTCTCGAACAATCCGTCGCTCTGTTACAAAGCAATGATTTGCAGATAAAATCTTGCAAATAAAATCAAGAAACTTATAACAATAAAATATATGTTCTTATGCGATCGATTGATTTAGAATTCAGTTTTGAATAAGAACTACTAAAACGCGATGATAAATTCGAACATCAAAAATAGGATAAGTAAATTCTTATTATCAAAGATTAATGCAAAGAGATACTAATGTAAAGATGATTTAATAAATTAATTGTTGGTAAAAGTATTTTTAATTGTTTAATTGTTTAAAATTATGTTAAAATATTTCTTAATCGTTTAAAATTATGAATTATGAACGTAAAATAAGAGGAAACGTATTTCTTCAATGATATATGCTGTTAATTTGATGTAATATAATAATAATAAAGTGAAAAAAATAAAATGATATTAAATTTGATTTAAGGATTTTTCGGAGCCTCAAGTAACCGCTTATAGATCACTATCCGTAAGTTCACGACCGACATGGAAATGGTTTTACGATGATAAAGCGAAACGATAAAAAGTCTCGTTGGGAAACCTAGGCGACTAGTTTTCGCAATAAATAGGGGGAAGCAGGAAGTATTTGAGCGGAGACGTGTTATTATGAACTCGGTAAGAGTGGGAGAAGAATGTAAGGAGGCGAGGGAAAAGAGAAGGAGCCTGTGGAAAGTTTTGCTCGTTTTTGCACGGCAAGATTCTCGCTGCCGATTGGTCTTCTCATTATGCAGCAATTAAACAACATGGCGCCCGCAGATGCTTGTTCGATTCGTTCACTTAGCGCGGCGCTAGTCACCGGATCCGATATATTGTGGAAGGCTAGCGCGCGTTGAAATCCCCTATTATACTCATAAAGAATATTTCTAGACGTGCGCAATAATAAGATCTAAGAATATCTCACTTATATAATAAAATGTCATGATTCATATTAATTTATGCCTGCTCATTAGGCGTGCACAAGCAATTCGCTGCATGACTTTTTTCATTTGAATTATTAATGTATTAATTGTTATTAAAAGTGTCATTTTTTTAATATTAAAATGTTAATATTAAATAAATTATAAATATATATCTATTAAATATATATCTATTAAAAATTAATATTAATAAATTAAATTAATTTTTTTTTAATTAATTTAACTATTTTAATTTACGTTTTTAACACTAATTATAAAATAATGATAAAGATAAAATGATTTTTAAAGCAATCGACTTTTTATACAAGAATCGTGAAGAATAATATTTGTTATGAAATTGCGATGCGCAAGAAATAAAATTAAAAACTTTTATTATATAGTATTAATATTTTAATATCAGTCTAAAGTTATAAGCTATTCATTTCCCGAATGTTGGATTGTTGAAAGTTGACGTGGCTTGTTTGTACAGAGGATTCTCGCCCTGAAACATATTGACATATTGACGTTCCGGCAATCTCATAGTCACGCGATCGAGAACAATAAGCGACTCACCCTGTCCCATTTGGCGAGAGCGCGTTCCTTCTCAAACCTGGCGTATTCCCTCTTGTCGTGGATCATCGTGAGGATCTTCCAAATGAGGAGAATCAGGAAACCGATGATGACGGTACTTGCAACAACGCCCAGCGCAACACCTACGAGAGAAAGTAGATTCCAGTTCATTCTTATATCTTCGCGCATATTCAATCATGTAGCGTAAGCGCATCCAACATGCAAAAATGCATACATAAACTTCCAAACGTCAATCTTACACAAGTGATAATTAGAATTAAATAGTATAATAGAAAATACCAAAAACGTTGAGAGGTGTTGGACATATCTTTTCTTTCTGAGCTTGAATCTTGAAGATTTTGATGTCTCCTCCGGTGCCATCCCTGTGATATTGGTATTTGAAGACAAACGAACAGCCTGCATCACCTGGTGTTCGGCACATGCGGGCGTCGGTTTTCTCATCCATAGGATCTTCCTCGATAACATCGACCTGTGAAGTAATAAGCGTCCATTTGCATCTCGTCGCGAATTATTAATCGCCCTCACACAGCGTGCAAAATAAATGCTATCTCGAGGAAAGATCTACTAACAATGTCTACTTCGTGCATGCACAAATCACACTTCCCATTCTTCGCAAATGGTCCTGTATTGTACGCCATGCATTCCACGCAGTCTTTCAGCTCTTCGCACCGTTGTCCTGGACACGTCTAAAACGCATTATAAACATTTTATAAAATTAAGATATTTAATACAATTCGGAAACACCGTATAATGCCCATCTTTTTACCAATGTAGATTAACTTTAATTTAACTTATTTTTCTTCTTTTTTTTAATTTTAAAAATTAGAAAAAATAAAGAGTAGATTTAAATAAAAGTTAATCTGCATTAGTAGAAATGAATATAAGTGCATATAGATTGAAATATGTAATTTTTAAAAATTAAATTAAACAAATAGATATAATAATCCATAATTTAAGTAATTCAACAACTTAAATTGCTTACTTAAATTGCTATGTACTTGTAATGATAAATTTAATTTTATTTATGATCTGAAAAATCCTTATAAATATATAATATTCTAAGTTTAAACCCACATATGTGCATACATAACATTAATTCAATGTTCAAACCGCCTGTATGCGGGTATTGAATTAGTATAAAAATTTTAATCGTATTTACACGTTTTTTTCCACTTGGCCAAGTAAGAAATGGTTCATCGACTTCTTTAAAAATATTATTTCCTCAAACGCAGATACTCACAGGGCATTCTTCGCAATATTGTCCGGAATATCGAATATTGTCCCGCTCATGACAATGACAGTTGCCGCAGATGCAGTTACCACGCCCGCTGCAAATCTCGACGTTCCCGCCCGACGGCGGGATGCATGTGCTGTTGGTCTCCTTGCAGTCGCACGTTTCTCCACCCCATCCCGGTAGGCAATTGCAGGTACCACATTCGCACTTGCCCCGTCCGCCGCAGACCTTAAACGGACAGAGAAGAGACGAACGGCGGATGTAATCGGGTACGTACAAAGGCGTGTAATTTGTCCTACCGCCCTTATAAACGCCGCTGCCGCGCTCGCTCGAAGGGAAGATTGCCGTGTAACTTCCGCGCGAATTTGTTAAAAGTAACTATCGGGCGAGAACACGGTAGTTGCGCGTGATAATAGAGATTTCCTATCCCAGCCTCTTTCGAGCGTGTAATTTTTGCCGTCTATATCGTTTATATAATAACACTAAACGCTTATGTATACTTTCAAGTTTTAAAAAATGTTGAACTTTCTTTCAGCATAATTACGCATTCAATTTTTAACTATAATAAATAATAAAATATCATTTATTTATATTTATATATTTATATTATATATTTTATATAGGAAAATTATTTATCTATAAATTAGCAAATTAACATTTTCTGCCTCTTATCTTAAAGGAATATTAGAACTTCATCTTCGAATTGTATCGTGCTTTATATGTTGCGTATGATAATATGTTCTTTAATTTTAAAACATACCTGGCCATGACTGCGTTTGCAAGAGAAATTGTCGCACTCGCAATATTGCCCGTAAAATACTTCTTCCGGATTGTTCGGCCGTTTGTCGCAGTCGCAGACGCCACACTTGCATACGCCGTGGCCGCTGCATATCTCAGTGGTTTGATTATCGGGTTTGCAATCATCTGTCGAAATCGAATTATCAGCAGCGATCTCGCTTCCTTCGCACTCGCATTGCTTTCCGTGAAAACCGGAATTGCAGGAACATACGCCGCACATCGATATGCCATTACCCTTGCATTCTGCTGCGTTCGGCTGATATCCCTGTGTTGCAAATTATTTAAAATTAGATATGAAAAATGTTTATAAGATATTACGCAAATTGGATTAATTATTAAAGAACGTGTTATATTTGTAATTATATATTCTTGCACACTTAGAATTAATATTTGATAAAACAGATTTTTCAAGTTTTTTTGAACAAGTTTTTCTGCTTTATGTATACCGAGTGTCCAGGTTTCTCACAAGGACAGTCGCATATCATTTCCAAATCAATAATCAAACTCTCATTCAGGTCTCTAGGTTTAATCTCCATAGTTTGACGCCAATCCTTTGGATCCTTGGGGCACTCTGTAAGCTGTAATAATATTAATATAATATAATAAATATATTAAATATATTAACATATTATTAATTAAACAAAATAATTATAAATTATTCATGCACCTTAAGTACAACTTCAAATTCGATAACATTGCCTACGCGAAGTCCTTCACATTCCTGACGTTCGAGCATTTCTCCCGTTTTGTTCAAACAGCGGGAGAAATATTTAACGTCAATCATCTTTGGCGCTGTATCGATTATCTTCACCGACTTTACTAGTTTCTGTAAATTATTATCAATTATTATGCACAATTAGATATAAAATAAGTTAATATTATAATAGATTTAGAATAACCTCATATTCGCTGCTCACTAAGGCGACGACATTCTGCGAATTGTTGTCCAAAGTTCCGGTAGAAGATCCACTGATACTACGACTTAATCGCTGATAAGTTGCATTTTTATGATCAGGAACTGCGAAAATAATGTTCATGTTGTGCTCACGTGCTTTTCTGTTGAGCTAAAAATTTCTTAAATTAATTTGTTAAATTCATCACGTGTGTAAATGAATACACTGAGAGAAAACAAAATAGTTTTTAGCAACTATATTTATGATAATTATAAAATTTAAATATCTATAACTAGTTTTTCAAAGTAATAAGTACAAAAATAGTATTGAATAAAAATATAATTACGTAACAATAGATGTGAATTATTAATTGATTGATAATGAAATAGCGACTCAATTATAATTATATAGTTGAGACATAAAATTCATACAAATAGTATATTGCATTATGTTTTTCTAGTTTAGAAATATTTTTGTGAAGTAAGAATAGTGCTACAATTACATTGAGAAGTTTAAAACGTACATATAATGATACACAATACATTACTTTATCTACCGATTTACTACAAATGATTAATATTATCTATATTTTCTCGATTTTTTATATATCTATATATTTATATATCTTATTAATTGTTCTTATTACAACTTTAATATGCATAATTGAAGCGCTACTTGTATACAAATCTTTTTTAATTGCTGGTACGACTTTTTTCTCTCAGTGTATCTTTATGAAAGAAATACCTGAGATATCGACGGATAATCTTGCAGAAGAGAATAAGTGTAAAATCCTTTCTCGTCCAAGTGACATTTGCAATCATTTGGCTCTACTATTCCTGCAAGCTAAGAAAGCCTTTTTATTTCAAATCTCGTAAACTTGATTGGTTGGAATAGGTTTATCTTAAAATTGCGCGACCGCGTAACTTTTGCTCAATTTTACGTACTCTACCATCTCCGGCGACATGGAAAATCGCATCAGTCGAGAACACGATAAGATGACGTGCTTTTTGGCGCCAGCCGATTTCCTTGGTGCATACTATGACCTGCATCATCGCGTCGAGACCACCTTCGGGACCGTCCAGATTACCTGACACCGGCGCCGCTTGTACCTGATCCTATTTAGTAAAGAATTTGTACAACAGATTATCTAAAATATAGAGTCATAATGTACAAAATTAACTATTCATTTTATGGCAACAAAGCATAAAGATAATGCACAATAGAACACAAAGTAAGATAATATACATAAGATAATATACATTTAGTGAATTATAATAATTATGAGAGTAATGCTTATCTTTATTATCCCAAAATGCTTAGAATAGAAAATTCTTTTGTATATATATATATATATATCTTATATATACCCTATAGTAATATTTACCTTAAATAAAGCTACATTCTCCGTAAGAGGCATTTGATTTTTGTAATCGTAAGGCGGCGCACACGGTTTTCCATTTTTCAAAGTGCAGGGAGATTTCAGTCTGATATAAAAGTTCAATCGGATTATAAATCGCGCGTTTAAAATTGCGATTTTATTCAATTATAACTATCTCGATAAGTGCTCTATTAATCAAAATGTCTATTATAATGATTCATGTAATGCATATAATTACTTCTCAGGCTCTGTGCTAGTCATCGGTAAAACGACTTTGTCTACAAAGCTACCAAAGCCAATACGGAAATTCGATGTGAGCTTTTGCATGGCTTTGACCAACTCTAGACCGAGTTTCGATAATTGATCTCTATATGGTTCCATGGATGCCGACAAATCCATGAGATAATATAAATCTACAGGATAATCCTCCGCCTGGCTGTATTTCATGGTCAGACGATAATCCTCTCCTAAATAATTCATTTAAATTTTTGATTTTTAAAATTGATAACTAAATTTTATATAGTATTAGATAAATGCGTCAAAAATATTGTAATATATAATTATTATATTTTATTATGAATATAATTTAAAATTGTATATTTTTAATAAATGTTTTATTATGATTTCTAAAAGAACTTTTGTCTCAAATTAAAAATTAGTATATGTTTTTATTTAACATTTATATATGTCGTAATATTGAAAAATATTGAGTAGTTTCATAAAGAGACTTGAGATTAAATTTTGACAAAATTTTTCTTTCACCTTGCTTGAGACTTAAATGTATCCTCTGAGGTTGAACTTGGACGGGATCTTTACCCTTAATCGAGGATAATTTTCGATTTTCCAAGAACTTCATCGTATTATTGTATTGTATTACATCCGATCGTTTACACCAATGCTCGCCTTTTTTCGTGTACGTATGGTTGGACACACAACGCAGAAAAGGACTATTCATTTTCTATCCAAATAAAATCACCACCAACAGTTTAATCTATTATACTTTAAAAGATTATTACAATTAAAAGCATATTTAAATTACAAAATTTTTCTCTTCTAACGTAAGAAAATTAAAATAAATAACATCTACAAGAGTCTCCTCTGAGACTTTCAAAAGGAGAAGCCGAAATTTTTCTCATAAAACATAAAACCTAAGATTTCGTTCAGCTAATAATAAACAATAAACACGAACGATTTTCTTTTCTTTTCCCAATTCCAATTGATTATGAGGAGTAATAAAAAAAGAAAAACTGTTTTTACAAACTAAACGCGCATGAGTACGATACACTCATACGAAGCAATCGCTGAGTTCATTCGACGGTATGAATCACGGTGACGGAATCGTAACAGTGAAGTCGCAAGGCGCGCGTCTTTTCCAACACATCTCTTTTTTTCTCTCGTGTGTCATCTCTGATAGAATCCTCCACTCGTTAACGACTTTTATAAATATTCATTACCGTCGTGGAGCACCAGACGCATTGCGATGTTTGCAGACAACTCGCACAGGTCAATCGGGATTCACAGAGGTTCTCGCGATCACGGTGTTGCGAGATCACAGCCACGAAAAAATGCATCACAAAAAGAAAAACGATTATCGTCCATCGTGTCATCGTTCCATCGAACGCACAACGTCGCCGATGTATTTTTGACGCGAGGTGAGTCGCGGCCTCAAATCGCAAAGTTCGCGCATCGAAAGGATACTGCGGCATCCCGCGGAAATGACTCCGAGATAAGTCACATCGTGGTAATGCGTGTGATTAAGTAATCATTCGTTCTCTCCACTATCAATGACGATTTTTCCTGGGATTGGTCATCGTTGCCCGAGGCACAGGAGTCATTCCGGTG